GAAACCAGAGCCTAAAAACAAATCATTCTCATCATTAGTGCTTAGGAACCGACTGAATACCCAATCCAAAGATGACAGAGGCTCCACAAGGCGGTCAATTGCATCTTTCATTGCAAGGCAACTATATGAACTGGGGTCCAATACCAGACTGAGTTATTTAGACCAGTCATTGGTTTCATCAGTGGAGTTGAGCTAATCCATGATTACAATGCTCCTCAACTGTCCTTGAATCACAAGCGTGAGTGAGTAACGAAGACATCTTTCTTTCTACGGAAGAAATTCCTAATCTGTCTTACTCTGCAACTTTCACTGCAGAACACCTTGTTGGGAGCAGAACCCAGAACCATGCAGTGAAAGCTGCAGAGAAATACATTGATATTCGGGCATTGAGTATTTTGTTGATGCTGTGCTCGTAAGAGGAAATGTCTTCACCTCTGAGATGGACATTTCGAGTCCAGCTTTGCATTCATGGTTCAACGTAACACCACTGATGATCAGCTGGCAGAAGTGTTATTCTATCAAAAGCTGGAAACCTAATACTTTCTGCAAGGGGCAGACACAAAGTATGTACTCCTCTACCAGGGCCTGAATTTTCTAGTGGAGAATGAATCCCAGATCATGTACATTTTCCTCTATCTGGCGAGAACATCTTAGGTTTGTTCAAGGGTTGGAGAATTGGAAAGCTCCCACAGTTGGGGTCGTTAGATAGACAATGGTATATTTTCTTGAAGACAATTCTGTACAGCTCTGAAATAGAACCTACCTGTGAATCATCGTCTGGAATGTCTCCTGGGATACGGCAGTCATATAGGCATGCTGATAAGATTTCAGTTGATTAGTCAATCGATTGAGATTGACGTAGGGAGTTTGTTTTTTCTTTCGAAGACATATTTTCTGCATCCTTTCGACACCAATCAGCAGTGCCTCTTACGTCAATGATATAGTGTTTCAAAAACCTTATCATACCTTGGAGTGAGGTTTTGAAAATACTCTGATAAGAGCGGAGTCCAAATCATTTCCCGAATATGTTAGGAATCACACGTTAAAAAGTGAGACATCGTTAGTCCTTAGCTCGCACAGTTTCCCAACTTCTAAGAATTGTCGTTCGTATGGGGGCGATAGCTGGATTAACGGAAAAACATTAACATCAATAACCTTATTTGAAGTTGCAATATTGTTTACAGAATTCTATGTCAATGAACACTGCGTCAATTCAAATACAGCTAGTTCCGAGGCATCATTTAGGAGGACTGTAACCTCAAACTGCAGGAGTATTCTAAAGCCTCTAATGAAACACTTTCCGCCAATTCTCGCTGCGAAAAAGGTATTCAAATGGTTGATAAAAACACTTTTCGAACGAAAATACTTGCATCTGAGGATGTATCATTCAAAATTACAGATTGTTCTTATCTGATCCTACAGATTCATCAGTCTATCAAAGTCGATGTGTGTATTCACCTGTTATCTCAGATTCCAGAATCGCAGGTTTTCCAGTAAAATTTTTTGAAAAGTGTTTGATAAATCAACGTAAATCGACAGCTGGATGTAGATAAATATATCAATGAACAATCTTATTGTCATTCGATATCAAAAATTGTTCTTGAAAGTCGTGATTATTTACGAGAACGAACGGATTTTCAGGCATTAAAACTTAACTGGTGAAAATTCAACAGATTCACTTCTGTGGTACATTATTCAAACTAAGTGCCGCTATTTGAAGACTGATATCATATCTACATCATCATAACTAAAAAAATTCTAATAATTGATTCATCAATCAACTTTTAATACGATATAAGTATTATCAACGCTATACTGGTGCTATCATATATCTGAGGGAAACCACAGAGATGAATAAAAACGATGAAGATAATTTGAATGACTGAAAAGAGAATCGATGAGAGCAATTCCAGAACCTAACATCACACCAGAAGGCGGAAGAAGTCGAAAATGGAATGAAAAATGGAAAAAAGTTAGGGTATGGAAATATGGTGTTTGCAATCAAATCAAAACGTTTAGAATAAATAGGGCAAATAATGAGAAGGATATTGACCGAGATGATGAGAACAGTAACGAAATGGACGCCAATCCACCAAGAACAAGTTGGAGGAAGGATATAAACAAATACGTAGAAGCATTGAAAACGAAAAAAAGAAAGGAAAATTGCAGAAGTAGAAAATATTGATACAAATAGCTGAATCATTTGTGGAATAAATGATAACCTAGATATGCGATAAGACGATTGATCCACCTCTGAACAGTACATGGAATGAGCAAGCATAAGCCATGATCCGGAAAAATCGAAGGGTGATAATAATGGAGGAAATCTGACAATAGCATGGAAGCCCACGATGCAAAATGGGGATTTACTCGAGCGTCATTGAGACATATTAGGTTGCAAAGATTAGATGATAAGAAGAAAAAAAATTTATGTGATATATACCTTTTCATCGGTGGGTGAATATGTAAAAAAATACTGTTGAATGGAAATACTCGAGCGCGTCAGATATTGATAGCATCAATGTCCTACATATTTTTAATAATGTTGGTATGTTAATCTGATCATTAGCATGATGAGGGTGGTTGTACGTAAGGGTTAAAAGTGAAAAGAAAAAAAATTTGATCGAGCGTGTCAGATTTTCTAAGGGGGTGTTAAGTGTAACAAAAAAAAGCTCTCATTCAATAATCTGACGATTTCGATCTGACGCAAACTCGCGGCCATTATTATAATGTGCAAGCAAAAAGAATTCGCCATTTTGAAATACTCAAGCGCGTCAGATTGAGATATATATGGTTCATCTTCATGTTTTAGACGTGCTGTCTCATAATCTGACGATTATCTATAGGGATTCGCTTAATCTGACAAAAACAATAATTTTTTAATTTTTTTTTGATTCATTGAACTTAATTGATTGAAAAGCTCAGGAAATAGCATGCAAATAAATAAGTGTATGTTTCATAAGTAGACTACTTGTATTTATAAGAATTTTTTTTAAAGAATGCTCAAAAACTTCAATTTTTCACAATCAATTGCTCAATTAATGAAGAAAAGGGAAATGAAACTTTCTATGTTTTTTACAATTTATACAATATATAAGTTTGAAAATGTTCTTATAGGACGAAACTGCAGTAACGCTAGTTACAAATGAAAGTGGTAAAAAACATAAAATCTTTAATTTCTCTTTTCTTCATTATGATTTCCTACCACGTAGTAATGGCTACATCCATCAATTAATTAATCATCATCTTCATCTTCATACGTCATGGCAACAGAATTCAGAGTGGGGACGGAGTGAGAGAGAAAAAGTGAATAGAGAATAGAGAAATGGAAACTCGGAGAGGGAAATATAGGTATCACACAGCTGCACGCATTAAACTTTATCGACGAATGGAGGTACTTAACCGGGTACAAGGTATCCCCGTGTATATTAATCTGCCGCGCTTCAGTAAATCCTGAGATCCTCGCTTGGGCTCCCCAATACAACTTCCCAAAGTTGCTATGGCGAAATCTATATACACTCTACAAAACAATTAAAGGATCACTACTTTGTAACGATCGTCTACAAGATTGAGTTTCATGATCAATATAATAGTGTGAACTTTGGTAGTGGACACCTTTGATAAGAAACAACAGAGGCTGTTTTAGTCTTTTGGCTTCGGATCAGTGTAGATAATTCTTATCTTTGTGTGAACCCTCGCCGCCCTTGAACTGGACCATCGGAGACCAGTTCAAGGGCGGCGAGGGTCCACTGTAGCCCAAGAGGACAGGTATTTATGTCTAAGTGCCCCCAGTCACAGATTTCCAACAGCCAGGGAGCTACAAAATGAGTTGAGTCGAGCAACAGGGACCCAAATTTCCGACCAGACTATGCCAAATCGACTTCGGGAAGTGGATTCAGATCTAAATGACCAGTCCAGGTACTTCGGCTCATAGCACATCACAAAAAAGAAAGAATGCAGTTTGCTTGGACACACAGACGTTGGCAGCAAAATAATGATGGTCGGACCAGAGTATACAGAAAAAGGAATGAACGTTTCATTCCCTGCTGCTCATCTTCAAGGGTCCCATTTGGAGGTGGATCAATAATGCTATGGGGTGGAAAACTACTCGTACAGATTCCGTTGTCATACGCAACGGATCCCTGGCAGAACAAAAGAAACGTTAATGAGGTGTTGGATGTCTGAATGCGTCACAGAGGAGAAGCAGGAGAGCATAATTTCATTTTTATGCTCAATGAGGCCCGTCCCCACGCTGCATGGATCGTACGTCAGTACGTACAAACCCACAATATCACCAGTTTGGGGTGGCCTGCTTGCAGCCCGGACATAATCCCATCGAGCATGCCCAGGATCAACTGAAAGGAAGCATTCAAAGTCGTCAAAACCTATCTACCACTTTGGATGAGTTGGAAATCGCTCTTCGAAAAGAGTGGGACCGTTTGCCTCAAGAAAACCTCAGGAGGCTCATAAAAACCGTGCCCTGCCGGATCCGAGCTATGATTTCTGTCCGAGGAGTAAATCACAAGATACTGAGTTACTGAGTGTAACACAAAAACAACTTTTTGTTGACTTTTGATTTCAAATATGAAGGGTTTTTATCTTTCTTTTGGTAGTTCTTTAATTTTCCCACGTATACCCAATACGCAACTGAAAATTATTCAATAATTCAGCATGGATTTGGTAGGCATTTGCATTGCCTCTCAGAATAATACAACATATGATGAGTTTTTTTTACTGTTAAAAAAATTAAAAGCTCATAAAGAAGTGATTCTTCAATGAGGTGCGACGGAAGCCTGGTGGCTGACGTGGGTGGTTTGCTCCACTCACTCAATCGACCGCTGTGCGAATCGGTGGTTCGAACCGCAAGGCCGGACGATCGATTTCCACTTCCTATCGTCCAACCCGTATTAAAAAGCACACGATGAAAGATGAGACCTCGTTAGTCTTTAGCTCGTACAAGTTTCGACTTTTGAGGAGTGTATAACATTGATTTCACTTACCTTGTGGGAGTCGTAGGAACACTTTCTCCACTGGATGAATGTTTCCCATGCGAATTTGCTTTGACAGATTCCACTTCTTCGTCAGACCCATCTTCCGAATTTTTGCCCATACTCGACTGGATCTCTTCAGCCCTCATAAATCTCCTTTCCTGTTGCTTCTTCAGGGACTTCACCAACTGCTTAGTCATGTCAAAATCTGAAGTAGGCGTGGGAGGAGAGAACGGGGCTGTGTTTGCCGTTATAGTACCGTAGTAGTGTCCAGAGTGGGTTTTGATAACGCCTCGTTCCTTGTGATTCGGACTTTTTTGCTCGGTTTTCTTGAACATCTGATTGTACGGGCATGTCGATTCGTGTTGCCACAAATCGACGCCGAATTTGAGTCTGGTCGGGCACCCCCTGTTTCGGAATACGCAGGGAAAGATGATTATGCTGGACAACGTTTCGTACAAATAGTTCCTGATGGTGTTCGGTGGAGTTCCGTTAGCGTAGGAGCAGCGATGGCAGATGTTTTTGCCGTTCGATAGAATGTAAACAGGATCGCAAGAAAGGTAGCTCTGGCACTGAACGCATGTGATGTAATCCAGGAGATACTCGTGAATGGCGATCAGTCGAATATCTGCAAAAAAGTAAGTTTTTTCGGTGTCTAGGTAGCTCATGCTTGCTACATTCACTTTAGTTTTGAGCTAAAAACCTCCAACTCGAGGGGTTTTTAGGTCAACGGCTTGGAAATGAAAAACTTTTGTTACTGAGGAATCACTTCCAACCCATTTCTATTTAAAAAAAATGTGAGCCGTCGCGGGACGCCTGGCAGATGTAAAACATCAATAATAATATTTTGTGACCCCTGTGATGATTGTTGAGTATTGAAATATCAATAAAAATAAATGTAAATACAATATATCTACATGAAAAAGTTTTAATGTGGCCTTAATATACTAGTAAACACAAGAATCTTAGCTAGTTATTGCAATATATACTGAATATCTCAAATTATAAATATCAATAATGAATATTCCATCATAATTAGAAAATCACCTAATTAATTACTTTTTTCTACTCCCTCTATTTTAAAATAATCATTACGCGTTTGACAGCAGATAGATAATGGCTGATTTAGAATATGATAGGTTGCCTTTTATCTTTCGGGATTTGGCAACCCTGTTGTTGCAATCTGGCAACTGACAGCTCTATCGTGAAGTTGGACATTTTTGAGCTTATATGTACTCAATAAAACCTTTTGACATACGCGCGCTATTTGTGTTGTTTACAGTAACTTAAAAGATTCATCCCGGCCCAAAAATGGAGTTAGATCGTGAACATTTTCGTGGGAATATTTTTTACAACATTCGACGTGGATTAACTCAGCAATAGTGCATGGATGGACTTAACAGTTTGTGGGTTGTTTTTAACACTCACTAGAAGCTCAGTAATTGACAATGGCCTAAACATATTCAATTACCTCCCAAACGACGTTAAATGTATAGAAAGCCACTCAGAATTTATAAAAGCAATCAAAGTTTCATTCCCTGAGAGACCCTACTAAAGTTTGAACGAATTTCATGATGATAACTTCTAGTAACACTTATTCTGAAATACATACATACATTCATAATGATCTCCTGAGGATGCTAACTTGGTTAGCGAAACGCGCATCGAGAGACCGTAGTTTTGTTTTGGTGTTTTTAATAATAACGACCTATCATAATACATAATAAGTTCCATTCAGTATCTGCAGTAAGTTACACCATTTCTACGATATGTATAATTTTCCTCTCGATTTCATATCCCTATTTCCTATTACCACATCTTACATAATATGTAGACATCATAAACATCTGTTTTTAGCATATTTTCATATGTATATATGTGTGTATATATACGTATGGATATTTTTATAGGTTTTGAATTGTATAGACTTAGTATATAGTGTTATACATTTTTATCTCATTCACTCACGCTTTGTCAATAAGATTCGTTCTTCTGAAAATAAAGTTTATTTTATTCTATTTCATTTTATTTTATTTCTTTTTTCGCCGTAGTATGCGATGGTCAGGCCCTACCCTCCGAAGCCCCGATGCATTCGGGAGGGCGCGCCAGCATTATCAACCAATGACCACTCCCCACACCGTGGGGTAAGTGATCTTTGGGTCCGAGAATCATGTGCTCTGAGGGAGCGCAGTGAGCCAAGAATGATAGCTTTCTGCATCTGTGCGGCTAAGATTTCTGCCTTAGTGCGGCAAGCCGGTATGATTTTAAGATTCGAGAGTGGAGAGGACATCATTCCACCAAGGACTCCAATATTCCGTTTTTCCTCCTCTTTTCTGACGATATTCGTGTCGCCAGGAGCTGAAAACTCCATGACAAATATCGTTTTGGTCTGGTGGTCGAGAAGGACTACATCAGGCTTCAGGGTTCCAATATATTCGGCACTTCTCGTTCCCCACAATGGATTCAATATCCCCCGGAGCGTAGGGCAACACCGGTGTTTCCTTCACGAGACACCGGTGATGATAATATAGATGATAATATAGCAATCTTAGGGCCGCGTTATGTCGATGGATATAGGCCGAGACCGCAGATGCTGGACATGCTGATAGCGAGTGCATTGAGATCTCGGACGCCTCGCAACAGGCTCTGCACCTGTCAGGAACCTCTATACCCATCACGCGACTACGGTAGACTATGGTGTTGAAGACACCATCCTGGCAAGCCATGATGAACCCCTCAGTTTCCGACTTCAACCCACTCGACCTGAGAAAAGCGAACGTCAGGCGCTTTGATAAGCCAAGGTCTCTAATGTTATTGAAGAAGACCCCATGCATTGGCATATCCTTGTGTCTCCGCAGAAGTTAGGTTAGGAGAAATGCTCCAATTCCTGCTCTCTCATGGTCACGGACCATGCAGAGAAGGGGATCCGAACTCCTGACGACTTTACAGGCTGTATTCAGTAACATTCTGTCATGTAGACACTCCAAACTCAAAAGTCCACGGCCTTCCTGTTGTCGGGGGAAGTACAACCGTGGAACGAATGATTTGGGATGCAAACTCCTATAGAGATGCATAATTTTTCGGGTCTTTACGTCGAGTTGATACAGCTTCTCCCCGAGTCCACTCCACTACTCCAAACGAGTAGAGTAAGATTGGAACGGCAAGCATATTTTTTGCAGCAACTTTGTTCTTCCCCGACAGTTCCGATGACCAGATCTGTCAAAGTTTGTGGTGATACTTGCCGCGGAGAGAGTTTTTCACTGCTGTTACCTCTTGTGAGTGACGTTGTTCCACCCCGAGGTAAGTATACGTGTCTCCGGCATCCAGATGGTGGAGAATGCTTCCATCTACGAGCTGCACATCCTCTCCGTAGTCCCCGCATCGTCCTCTTGCACCATTGCACATTTGTCTATCCCGAATTTCATACCGATAGCATGCGTGTACTCTTCCACCACCCTCAAGAACTGATGGAGATCCTTCTCTCCAGAGGTATAAAGTTTAAGATCACAGATGGGTGACCTCCGGTTTACGGGGGTGCCACAGTTATACCCTCAAGTATTTCTGAGCACAATGTTCAATGGCAATAGTGAGATGTGAGAGAGAAGGATACTGAGGGAATCACCCTGAAATACAACCCTTCTGAAAGTGACTCACCCTGTTTGGACTCTTGCTTGACCAGATGTTATGGTGAACCGAGTTCGCCAAAGTGGTATCATTTGTTCAATGTTCAATCACTATGTTGTCGGGTACCGCAAGACATCTGAGCAAATGCAAGATGAGGTCATGCGAAATTGTATCAAATGCCTTACGGTAATCGATCCAAGCCATAGAGAGGTTACGCTTATATTATATCGAGTCCTGCGTTACACATCTATCGATGAGCAGGTTCTCTTTACATCCAGCTACTCCTCTTTTCGACCCTCTCTGCTCATATATCTGTTCGAACACTCGGTCAACTGCGGTGAGTATTCGTGTGTATAAGATGCTTGTAAACAACTTATAACACGAATTCAAGCATGTTGTTGGTCTGTAATTCTTAGGAATCGACAAATCTCCGCTTTTGGGGATAAAAACGGTCCGCCCCTCGACAATCCAATCCGAAATCGTCTGCTCTCCGTCCAGCCATGAGTTGAAAACTCTGGCCAGATGGCGGTGGGTACTTGGTAGTGTTTTCCACCAATAAGTGTTCAGACCATCTGGGCCTGGAGCAGCAAATTTCTTGGAACCAACAAGGGCCCTTCGAACGTCATCCGGGGTTATCGGGTTGCGCAGTTCATTGAGCTCAGGCTGTCGAAGCTCTCTGTTGAAAGATTCGAACTGCGCTAGGGCTGACGTGTCTAAATTGAGTCTGAATTATTATTATTACCATTTTGAGGAAAGGTTGGTTGGGTGTAAACTACTTTTCGGTGAGTAATTCAATCAAGAACTTATTATTTCTTGTAAAATTGAAACGATAATAATCGTAAGTTACAAAAAAAGTACAGTACAGTTAACTGATTATTATTATTATTACACACATATTTTGTCTCACCTCCAAGTGGAAAATCTCTTTTTCCTTTCCAGTATGCTTTTGGGTGTTTCCAAAATAGATTGCATCCACCATGGTAGGAACAATAGTCTTCGTGTTCCAAACTCTCGTCCCATCTCAAGGACCTAGGACAGTGATCTTCCCAATTCTTGCATGGATATCTGAACATAGAAGCTAGGGCTTCGTAGGAAGTATTCCGATATACGTTTTTTGCTAATCCTCTACATCTGGAAAAAATCGTACATAATGAAGAATGTGGTCTAATTTATAGAATAACTAACAAATGAGAGTTTCTCTAGAACTATACAAAACTATTTTGGAAGAAAGCAAAACATGTGAACGAGCTTTGTGTAAAACCCGATTCTTTTTTCAAAATTATTTTCAAATAAAAATTTCGACGCCTCCCATAAAAAACGTCTTGATAAATGTATTCAATTTTTAAATTCAAACATCCTTACTTCCTGAAAACCTACAGTAGGTTCAAGAGATTACGAATAACTATCCATGTAAGTTTCTAGGCAGCATGATATTTCTGACCTGGGTCTGCTCCAGAACCTGATGGTGTTTCTGGTCCGTCTATTTACCAAGAGCTACCTGCCTTATTCCTGAAGACCTACAGCAGGTTCAAGAGATTAAAAAATGGATATCCATGTGAGTTTCTAAGCAGGTTGATATTTCTGCCCTGGGTCTGCTCTAGAACCTGATGGTATTTCTGGTCCGTCTATATACCAAGAGCTACCTGCCTTATTCCTGAAGACCTACAGCAGGTTTAAGAGAATACAAATGGATATCCATGTGAGTTTCCAGGATGATATTTCTGACCTAGGTCTGCTCCAGAACCTGATGGTGTGTCTGGGCCATCCATATACCAAGAACTACCTGCTCTTACTTTCTGAAGACCTACAGCAAGTTTAGGAGATTACAAATGAATATCCACGTAAGCTACAAGGTACGTTGATATTTCTGCCCTGGGTCTGCTCTAGAACCTGATGGTGTTTCTGGCCCATCTATGCCCTTCCTTCCTGAAGAAGACCTACAGCAGGTTTGAGAGATTACAAATGAATATCCATGTAAGTTTCTAGGCAGGTTGATATTTCTCCCCTGGGTCTGGTGTTTCGGGCCCATCTATATACCAAGAGCAACCTGCCCTTACTTCTTGAAGACCTATAGCAGGTTCAAGAGATTTCAAATTGATATCCATGTACGTTTCTAAGCAGGTTGATATTTCTGCCCTGGATCTGCTCCAGAACCTGATGGTGTTTCTGGCTCATCTATATACCAACAGCTAGCTGCTCTTGCTTTCTGAAGACCTACAGCAGGTTTAGGAGATTACAATTCATGTAAGTTTCTAGGCAGGTTGATATTTCTGACCTGGGTCTTCTCCAGAACCTGATGGTGTTTCTGGGCTATCTATATACCAAGAGTTACCTGGCCTTACTTCCTGAAGACCTACCGCAGGACTTGGTTTTGGATGATGCAGGACAATTTCTCAATCTTCCAGTCAATTCTTGCACCTTGTACCTTACTTTCCGTTGAATAACGTGTCAATGAAGTTCGATTAAATGAATATTAGGTGCGTTAAAGTCATCTATCCTTAATATATTAATATATTGTCATTTTTTTAGAATTATAACTGTTGCTCATGAATCAATAAATAAAAAACAGATTACAATAACAAAATACACATAAAAATGTTATTCACACTATTGTATATTTAAGTATATTGTATAAATTAAAGAGCAGAAGATAAAACAATTGTAGATTCATGTTACACTATAGAAAAAAAAATACAATAAAATAATAGTAATGTATCAATTGATATCACCAGAAGTCATGTCACAAGATATACTGAAATAATTACAAAGCATGAAAAAGCACGATCAAACGGACGCTTAAATGCTATTGAATGAATTACCATTGTTCATATCAGGTGATTTCAATCTTATCACATCATTTCCTTTGAGTATATATTATATCTGCAAGGTTATACGAAAAACAGAAAGAGAACTGAGTAATTTTAGACCATCCAGGCGCCAGATAGTAATGATAATGAAACTTCATTTTCATTATCATATTTTCTGTATTCCAAAAGATAAAAATCATATTCCACTCTCAAGTAGTTTCCAGATAATATGCACTATGAATTCATTTGTTTGTTTCAATTTAAGTTGAGCCGGAACAGATATAAAAACTTTAAGGCTACCAATCGAGAATGTTCGAAAGAGAAAACTTTAACAACTATTCGGAAAAATACGCAGAAGGAGCAGAACCTCAAGGAGGATGCATAGTCCTAAAAGCTGGTGAAGGAAACGTTTGTCAGAAAACGAAAAAACCTCAAAAAAAAAGAGAAATATTTGCTCTCGTAAACCCTTGAAACATCAAACGAAGGAAGATGAGGAGAATTACCTATGCAGTAACACAATTCATGGTACTCAAACCAAAACCAAACCACCATATGCTAACAATAACTTTAAGAGCCCCATTTGTCGGATACCTTTTGGGTGTGTCTTCTACAACGTACAAGGAGAAACGTAGGTTCCTTCTCAACCTGTGCTTATGCACTGAATCACGAAACATTTATCGAGACCATCGTGAATACTCATAGTGTATGGAAAGTTCTAGGGAATCGAGGAAACAAGTTGCTGTGCTGTGAACCAGAAAAAAACATCCTGAATGTGGCCCTATAGGTAGTACCGAATTAAAAAACTGGTCGGTTATTATCCCAAGACAAGTATAGGAACATCATCAAATAACTTCTTTCCCAACACCAAACCGTTATTTTGACACCTCGACACGTGTTTCGATCACCAAGTGATCATCTTCAAGAGGAAGATCAAACTTTAAGTTTGATCAAGAGGAAGATCAAACTTCCAGATTGATCTTCCTCTTGAAGATAATCACTTGGTGATAGAAACACGTGTCTAGGTGTTGAAATAATGGTTTGGTGTTGGGAAAATCTCCAGTAATACTCATTACTACACCAAAGTTCCAAATAGTGCATCACAAGCTCGGTAATACAGTTTACTGCGATTGTCACTATGAAAAATTCACACGGTTTTCTCGAGCAAAACTCATGTTTTCCACTGCAAGACAACTAGTTGAGACGCCCATAAACAGAGCTTTCCAACCAGCCAGAGGTATTACCAGTGATGCTAGGATGAACCATGATTACATTGCTGTACTCAGCTGTCCTGAAAAAACAAGCCTGAGTAAATGAAGGCGATGACCTCTCCAATTACGAAGATAGAGAACAATCGAGGCTGAAGCTACTACAAATCGGCGATGGCATATGTCTATCTCTTAAGGATGGCTTAGTATATAACTTTTCGTTGTTTAAAATGATGGTAACTTGTGATGTGACAACTGTAAAGCTATTCAGACCAATTTATCATTATTCTTTATGAAATAAACACCTCAAGCATTTCATTCGCATTGTAATTGATCTTTTCATCATACAATCCAAATTATTATTTCGGGAGTTATCTGAAATTCGAAACTATTCTGTGAGAAAATAAATTCAAGCTCCCTGACAGACCGATGCGACAGGCGTGATGAAAGAAGGTTGCAACTGTATTGGTTTTGTTTTACGTCGTAGATAATTTCAGAGGATGAATTAGCATTTTTTTGTTTTGTTGTTTTCAGTTGGATAAATACTTACCTATTTCAAAATTTGAATTGAAAGTTTTAAACGTACTTTGATTTGAATGAATTTCACTACAGGTCATCATTATTAGTTACCAGCTTAGGGAGTCAATATAAGATTGTGTGATAGTTGGAATAAAGGAATAAACTTTGATTTATAAGAAGGCGCTGTATCTTCCTTTATACGAAATCTGTTCAAAAAATGGTATGAATGTTCAAATTTCGAGGGCTACGTATATTCGATTAGCGATTAGCGATTGGCGATGAAAAATAGAATTACGTGCTCAAAACACTTGCAATGTTGACAGTGGCATACGGTGATTGTACTCCGAGTCAGAAAAAAGTTTACAAATAGCCCTAGACGCCCCAGCATATCAACAACCAATGAAAATGTTGGGAAAGTGAACAAAATTATTATGGAAAATCGTCGAATTTCTATAAGAGATGTTGCCAAAGATGCCCAATGAAATTTTGGGCATGAAGCATGTGGCAGCGAAGTTCATTCCAAAATTACTGAATTTTTACCAAAAAAACCATCGCTCGGGAATTGTTGAGTGACGTCAACGTCACTCAACAACCCAGATTTGCTTGAAAGGGTCATCACTGGTGACGAATCATGGTTATATGGTTATAAAATCAAAATCAAAGTGCAATCGTCCCAACGGAAGACCTCAGCAGAGCTAAGACCAATGGAAGCATGCAAAGGTCAATCAAACGTCATAGGTTTTGCTCAGTATTTTCTTCGATTACCATAACTAGGGCATCAGAAATTATACGTAGCTTGCGAGATGCAATACAAAGAAAACGTCTGGTGTTGTGGAATAACAATTCATGGTTTCCGCATCACGTCATTGCTTGTTCGTAATTTTTTGGTTGAAAACAACACCGTCATCATGCATTAGCCACCCTATTCACCGAATTTGACCCCCTGCGACTTTTTTCTGTTCCCAAGATTAAAGAGACCCATGAATGGGGCGGCGTTTTGCGACGATTGAGTCGATATAAACTGAATTGACGAAAGAGATCAAGGACGTACCAAAAAGTGTTTATAGAAATTTATTAATAAATGAGAAATATTAAAATACACCAGACGTCGTATACCCCTACCAATAGTCGTCCCGCCCATGCATAAAGGCTTCAGATGTTCCACAATATTCCAGAAGATTCAGCAGTATTCAAGACTGTTCTGAAATGTTCCACAATGACCTAGGATGTTCTGAAATACTTTTTAACGTTCCAGACTGTTCTGATCTGTGTTCTGGAATATTCTCGAACACTTCGAATGTTCTAAACTATTCCAGAACTTTCTAGAAAGCGAAAATTCCAGCCCTCATGGCTTCAAAAGCACGTCATTCAGACAAAAACGGGAACTTTCTCCGATGTGACACGAAAATCAGAACCTCCGACATTTCACAATAAACCTTCTGAAACCTGAATTGTAATAATCTGTTTTCTCACCTTCCGCATAATACAGCTCCGTCTGGAACAACAAAAACTGGGCCGCAACTCACAAAATTTTCACATTGTCTACAGCGCAATTCCCTCAGAAGTGATAATGGAATGCTAGGTGTTTCCATCATCTGTAAATGAAGAATGATAAAGGATTACAAATAATGCCTCCGAGTTCATGATTATGATCTTATCTATACTGGTGAAAATGGAAATTGTGTTTATTTTTGTGGAATGTGTGTTTACGACGTTCTTTATCTGGAAATCCTTTGGTATATATCGTGGGTAAACTTATATTCTTGACTACAAGGTATTTAATTCTCCACAATCAGGAATCTGAGATTTCTTCGAAAGGCCTGAGTCTTTTTATAATTCATCGTTATTTAGTCGAATTGGAACAACCTTGACATTGTAGAGGAATCATAATATCAACGTTGGTGATATGATTTTACGACTCTCAAGGTTTAGCATACCATTACGAATTTTCTCAACTATATTTTTTCTTATACAGTGTGACACACTTGAGATGATAATAATAATAACAATTTATTTTCCCAAGAAACATAAAATGTTCATAGCAAGGAAAAAAACTGACTATAACATAACTAAGTACGAACAAAGCGCTTAAAGAAAAGATAAATCAGAAATGAAACTTGAAAAATATATAAATGTACCTACATACATATACACACATATACATAAATGTACTCATCAGATAATATATCTATACAAATATTTTTTCAAATTAATCCGAAATTTTTGTTTATCAAAATTTTTTTAAGCATTTGGTAGCTCATTGCTCCCAAATGCTACCATTGCTACCTTTATAATAAATCGAATTTTGCCCAATATGTGTTTGTTTTCATTTTCATTAACTTCAGATTGAATATCTTGTCTTATAGTTTTTTTGGTTTATACAAGTTGTCTGTCGGCTTCTTGTAGTTCAACTTGTATATACACCTTATAATTTTGTTCTGAAGTTTTTTAAGTGGTTTCAATAAGGAATTTGGTGCCATACCCATGAAAAATAAATCAATTTAAGGTATTTTAGGAGTACAAAATTTTTTATTTTGAATAAAATCACAATTATGGGAGCTACTTTTTTCTTATTGTTTCAATGTGTTTTCTCCATGATACATTTTCATCTAGAATAAGACCAAGAAATTTAGCACTAGGAGAGTATTCAATATTGCCATTATTAAATTAAATTGGATCTTTTGAATCATTTGATATAGATCTTTTTGATACGAACATATATGAAGATTTTCGAAAATTCAGTGTCATTTTATGGCAGTAGCAGTAGGGGTAGCAACAGATACTTCAGAAAAGGAACAGATTGAAGCAAAGAAGCGACAAATTGAAACAAAAATTGCATGCGCTAACAAAAAGGGAAAAAAGGTTGTTAGGAAAGTTTTACAGGAAAGTTCTACTTCTGAATCTGGTGCTTCCATGATTTTGGAAAGTGATGATGCTCTGACAGATGAATTTGATGAGAATTCAGATGAAGATACTATCCCTATTGCGAAAAATCAGTTAGATCTCACCAGAGATCCTGTCGAAGGAGAATTTGTTCTGGTTGAGTTTAGTGCTGAAAAAGATAAAATTTACTATTTAGCTAAAGTTTTAGCTGTCAAAGAAGGTGATTATGATGTTAGTTTCTTGAGAAAAAAATCTCCAACACAATATGTGTTCTCCATTCGTGACAATCCCGATCTAGCTACAGTGTCAAAATCGGATGTCAAAATTATTCTACAAAAACCATTGAACCATGGTTCCACTTCCAGGTGCAACAATTCCTTCTACTCTTTCAACATAGACTTCTACGGTCTCAATATACGCTAGCTCTTGAAATTTAATTTGCCTCGTCTCTGTGTCAGCTTTTTTATATTTTCCAAATGTGAAAATTAGTCAATTGTTTTCGAAATATTACTTCAAGGAGGCCCTTCTTAATTTTCCAGCAATTCCAGCGACATGATTGTGCCAAGACATATTGGTGTCCATTTACATAGTACATATCAATTATTCTAGGGCGACAAAGGTTGATTATCTGGTAAGAATATATCAAGTAACGGGGAGCTATTCAACTCAACTCGATCGTTCATTAGATATTGGGAATTTTCCCACCTATTTCCATACAGAAGGTCAAGTTCTAAACGTTTATTCTGGAAATGAGGATTTTTGAATTCCTCCCTCCGGAAGGATGTGAGTGAGTAGCATACGTCGAGTTTATTTGTTTCTATGTTCCTTTACTTGTGATCAAAATGTTCATCCTGTTTGACCTATATAAAATATCGGATATTAACCACAACACAATTTGTACACTCCTGATGTATCTGACACCAACCTTTCAATATGCGTGAAAACCACATAACATGCATCTTCAAATTATTGTGTTTTTCTTATAATTTTTATCATTGGAAGATTTTTTCCTATTGTTTCACCTATATCTGCCTGCTTTTACTAGTTAATGGAATGATTGTCCCTGCTCCTTTCAGGCATTTGAAACTAGAACAGAGTTAATTATCTGGTCGGATCGTAAATTAAAGTGGAATGATGTTTTTAGAATACAGGGTGTTTCATAACTACGTTACGAAAATTCAGAGGGTGATTCGTTAGATCGTTATTAAGTTTATAATAAACCGTGAATACTTCAATATCCTTACGCCGATTTGGTTGGTATTTGCTACAGTTATTTGAAGTGATATGGCGCTTATTTATCCCGAACTAGTTTGAAATTATTACGTCCAGTGGTGTCTCAGTGGACACCACAAGCACCACAAGCACAACAAACCTATCGATGTGTGTCACACTGTAGGTACTGAGAACTGGTATACATAAATTAACGTCATTATTGAACAGCAAGACTCTCTTATTATAATTTCGAAATATTTTCAAATATTTCCCATGTTCTGGAAATAGAGTGGGCTTATTTTATATTTATAGCATTTCTGCCAAAGGCACGAGGTCTTTAACTAATGTTCGTACTTTAGCATCAAGTAATAATTTAGACTCATTACCATAATTCTCTGCATATTCCTCCCTATAAAACGAAACGGCAGTGTTACTAACTGAAATTAAAATATGTTTTATATTATGTACGAGAACGTTTTCTGTTCATGAAATTGAAGTGAAAACGGTTATAATTCTTCAGCAACGTGTCCGGACTATAAAACTCAGGATCATAAACTTGTTCATCCATTCGAATGGCAAGACATAAAACAGATTATTATTACGACTGAGACATATTAAAGGTGTTGGGCCATTTATCAAACTTACAAAAAAGGCCAATTGTACTACGTTACCATCTAAAGAGGAAAATTTCACTCATCAGCAATTCTCAGTCGATGAATATAAGGCTGATCCATTGACCACCTTCAAGTGATCGCATTGTATAGGAAAAAATAAAATATCCTGACTATTGCTCAGGATTTCCTTAAATAGAATGCACGTTGAAACTACGGTTGGCGAGAATTTACGTTTCGTGGTGATTTTTTACTAATTCGGACTTCCATTGTCAAATACGATCCGAAATATATGAAAGAACGAATGAAATTGAAAATGAAAATGACCTCAGAGTAAAAAAAATAAAGATTTCAAACACATTGACTCATTTCTACGCTAGTTTGGCTAAATGCGTCGTTGGACAATATATATACAGCTTCTTCGAACTTCCTTTCAAACCAGTATTTCTCCTTGTGGATAATCTCAGCTTGCGACCACTTGAAATTATGTTGATGAGTCTAAACATGCTCTGCTATTCCCGATTTTCTGATTTCTCGTCGCTGTATGTTTTCTTGTGTTGGACGATGCAGACTATAGGATTTGCTGCACTCACAGGGTATCTAATAGATGCAATTCTTGGAATCGCAGTCCGCGTTTGGTGGCCTGGTTTTCGTTAGGCTGCTACGGTTTGTGTTTTCGGATCAGAAGTAGATTCTGTCGTTGTACTTGGACCCCAATTCTTCTTATCATTTACGACGATCCTCAGACGTAGGGAAAGGTAAGCACCGGTTGTGATGGCTTCCCTTCCTTACGAGGCTCTTGCTACCTTCTAGCATCACCTTTCAGTTTCACCATCACTTTGGAGTCACGATTCCATTGAAGATCTTTCTGATGATGCCTAGTTTCTTCTCGAGATCTTCCTTCGTATAACAGAGCCCGAAAGCATGGCTCACTAAAGTCTTGATGATTCCTTTTTTCGTATATTGATGGTGGTTGGATTTGTGATTCAGATACCGTGGGTGGGTTTTCAGTATACAGACTTTCTCTACTTAGTGTCGGCCCTCTTCACCAACACTAAGGATAGCAATTCGTTGTGGACGTTGTGGAATGTTTCATACCTTCAGAAAGGTGTCTAGTTCTGCATGGTTCCATACTATGAAGGTGTCGTCAACGTATCTCAACCATACTCGGGGCTTCTTGTGGGCTTTTCAATGGCCAAAATTAAAAAACCACTCCATATACAGGGTGTCCCTGGACTTCCTCTTTTCCTCTCGGGAATGTATAGATGGGGTCAAAATATCACCAGTACTTCATATAACTTCTTTTCCTAAAAGTCTTCGTAACCAAGTTACGGGCCCTCGAAGTTACAAAATGAAAAATGTTTTTCTTTGATAACTTTTCAAGTGAATATTCAAAATCATCCAAATTTTGGTAATTGACTAAACAAATGAATTCCTTCGATGAGCTTTCAT